TTTGAGGCAACTTGTAAGGAATAGCTCTCCCTACAGAGATCTATACGTAGTCAGTCCTCATCATTTGCAGGTTTTGTGTTTGCAAATGTACATGCTCACTAACCCCAAAATCAATCCTTGTGCTTTTACAGTCATTTGTAAACAAGCAGAGTGGCAAGAAGCTTGAATTACTTGGCAGGCACATTCCCGCTTAGGTCGAACAAGGAAATACAGCGCCTTCTTTTTGACATAGGATCTCATGAAGCTGGGGGTGGCCTCAAACTTGCCGTGTGCATGAGGGTAACCTTGACCTCATGGTATTCCTACCTGGGCACACACCCCCCACCAAGTGCTAGGATTACAGGCATAGCGCATAATGACTAGCACTTTGAGGCTTTTGTTTACTATTTATTTTTAGATGGTAATATTGCTACAGAGCCCTGGCTGGCCTGGAACTCTGTGCAGACCAGGGTGGCTTAGAACTCTGCGATCTGCCTGCCTCTACCTCCCAAGTGCTAGGATTAAAGGTTTGGTCAGTGCAGTATGTCTAGATAACTCCGCCTTCTTGTTTTCATTCTCAGAGTATAAATAATTGTTCTCTTTGTGATCTGTTTAGTGTCTTGAGTTTTGAGGGGAGCAATCCTCTTTCTTAATGGTTTTTTTTTTTTTTTTTGTCATAGAAAATAGTCCCAAGCAAGAGTGCATCAAGAAAGCTGAGATATATCTTAAAGAAAAAATAATGTGTTACATAACTGTCATTCATGCCTGACCTCTAATGGTGCTAGGAGCTCAGTATAAATGAATCAGTGATACATATTAAATAAGGTGTTTTTAAACAGAAACACATTTAGACCAAGGTTAGGTATTTGACAGACAGTTAATAAGAGACTCCCACATTCCTGAACCTTCTTTTCTTTGATTGTTATTTTTAAAGAAAGAATCTATTTAACTGTTTTATGAGCATTGGTGCAAAGGTGTCGGATCCCCTGGAACTGGAGTCACAGACAGTTGTGAGCTGCCGTGTGTGTGTGTGTGTGTGTGTGTGTGTGTGTGTGTGTGTGTGTGTGTGTGTGTGTGTGCGCTAGGAATTGAACCCAGGTCTTCTGGAAGAGCAGCCAGTGCTCTTAACTGCTGAGCCATCTCTCCAGCCCCCCTAACCCTTTTATTCCCTCTAGGAATAATGGTTCAGTATTCTCTAATTCAGTCCTCATGGTCATTTTGTAACACTCGTAGATAACAAGAGTGGAGTGTGTGGACTCAGGCTGTAGCTCTGAGGTAGTGGAGTAGTCTAGCACGCACATAGCCCTGGACTGATTCCCACCACTGCAAGTGGACAGAATAAAACCAGGCGTAGTGGCACACTCCTGTAATCCCAGCACTTGGAAGATAGAGGCAAGAAGATCAGGAATTCAAGGTCATCCCCAGCAGCAAAGTGAATCTGAGGCCAGCCTGGCCTTTATGAGCGCCTGCCTCAAAACACAAAAGGCCTGGCTCTGTGTAGTCTCTTTCCTTCTCTCCCTCTTGTTTCTGTGAGCCTATCCGTTTTACACAGCTGCCTGTGTTGCCTGTGCTAGACCCTGAACTCCCATGCTCAAGTGATCCTCCTGCCTCAACCTCCTAAATATGCTAAGTAGCTAGAACTGTAAACAAACACAGCCATCCTTGACTCTATTTTGGAGGAATGAGGGGGAATACCAGGGTTGGAGTCCTAGAGTTAAACAGAGAACTAGGAGTTGTGCTGGTGTGGATCCTCATACTGTTACAGTCATGCCACAGATCCCTGGCAGTCAGTCTAAAGGAGAGAGGGCTGGCCATGCATTCCACTCCGGGAGCTCCTTGCTTAACCTCTACTCATGAGGGCCACAACTCTGCATGCCAGAAAAGTCACAGACTTCCAGCACCTATCAAGGCCTAGGTATATCCAGAAAGGTAAAGCTGTAGTATGGAGCTTGTCTGCAGAGACCAGGAGCCAAGTAACTCAGGAGTCTGCAAAAACAGTAGCCCAGACACCTTCCCCGGAGAGCCTTTGTTTGATTGAGAAATTACTATGTTGTTGGCAGTTATAATTAAAGAGGAAGCTGAGCCCTATCGGGGACAGCTTCACCTCCCTCTACAACCCCAGATAGAACTGGTGGCAGCACACCGCCCAAGGCCAAAGATTTTTTTCCTCCGCTGCTGGCTGGGCCGAGGGACTTGTCAAGCCCAAGTTAGCACATCGATCGCAGGCAGAAAGAAGCCGGATACATGTGAGGTCTGAGCTTGCTTGCCAGGGAGAACCCACTGCTCCTTGGTGGATTGGCCCCTAGCTGTGGGTTCTCCCTGGGAAGCCCTGGAGAAAGCATCTGGATTCTGGCTTCAGAGAATGTGGTGCCAGTTTGAGGTTTGCCACGTGTAGTGAGGTCTGAGCATGGCACTGTGTAGGATGAGAGAGATTGTTCCTGCCTGGTTGCCTCAGCAACCCATCTCTGAGCTCCTTACATCAGTGCCAACAACCCAACCCGCTGCAGAAAACCACACTGGCCCACTGCAAGCTGCCTGGGGGCCTGCCAAGCCTGGAGGGATGCTGTGTGGTCTGGGCAGGGGGCATCCTGTGTTTTAGCAGGGAAAAAACACTTGGCTACTGAAACTCTGAAACATGACCTGTCAGAGAAGGAGGAAACTGGCGTGGGCTTGGGCTCCATGTTGGCTGGGAACTAAACCAGCCCTGTTTGCTTTTGGCTGGGCACATGTCCCCTGAGCTTCCAAACACAAGGCAGCCAGCCCATCTGTTTTTCCCACTACCACTACCACCCCCCCCCCCCATTCCTCTGGGACCTACTGCTGCTTCTTGGCCTTCGCCTATTTGGTAAAACTTGGCAAATTAAGACAAAGGAAAGGTGATCTTCCACAGTGACATCATGCCCATCATGGTTTTTTATCTTGTTACCGCAGACCTGATGGTCCCTTCCGCTCACCATCCTCTCCCTGCAGGACACTCAAGTTTGCAGCGCCCTGGGCTATTGAGAGGTGGATCAGGTGGATCAACTCTTAAGCACCACTCCTCGCTCTCCTTCGCAAGCTAATTGGTACACTTGGGAGCAAGGAGAAACCTTTTTAGCACCTACCAGGCACTAAGCGCAGATTCTTCCCGCTGCTGTAGCTCTGCTGAAGAGCTACAGGGCCCTGTCTAGATGGTGGAGGGGCTGGCATTACCTCAAGCAGAAAGGGGGGGAGGGCAGTACTCCTGAGGCTCCTGGGCTCCTGAGACAAGCTGTGGCTGCGGCGCACTGGGCCCGATGCAGCAGTACAAAAAGACAAGTCATACCGCCTGCGTTTCGCCGGCTCCGCCCCATCTAACTCCACTTCCCTTCCCTTGCCTCGGTTTCCCTGCAAAGTCGACAGTGAGGCCAGGCGCAAGCTGCACAGTATTGTCTTCTTCAGACCCTAGTGAACCCCGCGCATCCCCTTCGTTGCCACGCCACAATGTAAACTGGCGTTTCCACTCATTAGGATTGGGTCCTCGGAGCAACATAGTGATGGAGAACTAGGAAGAAGTCTGGGCCCTGCTGTCCTGGCCCTTCCCTTTACCTTTATCTCTGTCCCTCCCCGCCCAGCCGCCTCGTTCTGCTTTTGTCACCGGACATTTCCCCACCTCCTCTCAATCCTTCTAGCCCTCTGCCGCTGACACCAGCCCGGGCTTTGAGAATTCCCGGGTATTTAGACATTCATTTTATTGCTTAATCGAGCTTGAAGCCATTTAAATTAATACAAGTTTTACATTGAGCAGCAAAGGCTTTTATGGGCCCCTCTAGCCGAGGAAGAATGGGGGGGGGGTCGAGAAAGACTCAAGGAAGGAAGTTATCATGGGCCATTGCTTTTGAGAGGTAGGGTCAGGTCGCCCTCCCCAAAGGACACTGCCCTGAGCTACCCACTTGGAGGAACAGAGTCTGTGCCAGCTGTGGGGTCTTGGGGACGGAACCCTCCAGGAAAAGGTCCTAAAATCCTTCAGACTCTGGCACAGTATCTAGGCTGTGGCAATAACCCAACCTATCTACTTTCCCTTTTGAAGGGTGACCTCCGGAGTTGCCCTCCTCCCCAAACTGCCCAGTACGCTAATGCATCTCCACCCACACCCTCCAAACGTACCTGTCCTCTCTCTCTCTTCTCCCTCACTTTCTGGAAGCCTCTTTACTTACCTCCATTAAACATTAATCCTTGCAGTTCTTCCTGGAAGAATTCAGTCTCCCTTTCCCCGAGGATTATCTTACTTCTGAGCCTGCCTGTTTTCCCCCACAAGAGCTATGGTGGATGAGGAGCGGGAGGGTATACCATGTCCAGTCTTCTCATCTCCCTCCTGCACACACATGCACAACTAAGCGGGGGGGGGAGGAGGGGCTCCTTCAGGCAAGGTGAGTCCAGTGCACCCCCAGGAGCTGCCTGCCAAACGGAGCGGAGGAAAGAAAGCTGGGCCATGAGACTAGAATGCTACTCCACACAGCTGCGGGGATCGACCCAAGTGGGCCAGGGAGGACATGAAGAAAAGACAGACGCACGGCACAGAAAAGCTGGGATCGGGTGACCCGGCTCTCTGATGGAGAAGCCAAAGCATAATGTGTATAATTATATACAGTTGAATAGGAGGCAGGGTTATTACATAGAGATAAACAAGAAGGCAGGATTTTTACACAGCTGCACAAGGAGGCAGGTTAGCTAATCCCCCCTGTAGGCGCCGTCCTCAGGCTGTAAACATGAGTGGTGGAGAAAGCTACGGTGGAGAGTTCGTGCACTCTGTCTGCATTCACATTCACACTGGAGGAAGACTCTGTCAACCCTCTGAGCCACTTCTACAGGACTGAGGCTTGGGGTCCTTGACCACACTGTGCCCGCGACAAGAATACATTCACTCGGAGCTCCTGCTTCTACCCGCTCCGCTACGTAGAATGAATGTGGACGTGACGGGCTTGAGAGCCTTGCTGACTCTCAACCCTCGCACATGCAGAGCTGTGCCCACCAGCTGACGCACGCGTGTCTTTTGTCCCCAGGTGGAGGTGGAGGTGGAGAGCATGGATAAAGCTGGCAACTTCATCGGCTGGCTGCACATGGATGGGGCTAACCTGTCCGTCTTGCTGGTGGAACAAGCGCTTTCCAAGGTCCACTTCACTGCCGAGCGCAGCACCTACTACAAGCCCCTCCTATCTGCTGAGGAGGCCGCCAAGCAGAGGAAGGAGAAGGTACCAAGTATAGCGTGTGCTTTTCCTTACCTATTCCTTCCCACATGCCAAAGGGCCAAGGACAAGGTGCCAGCTTAAGCCCCTTTGGTCATAAGCCTGCTACAGACCTGCAGTGAGCCAGGGCTCCCAGCCTGGAAGAGTCCCAGATCTACAGCAGGACACTGTAGTTGACCTTTGAGCAGCACAGGAAATGAGCCGGGTACCACCGGGGAAGACCCTGAGGTCACCCTGCCCTTCTCTCCGCCAGTACCCACCAAGGGACTGGGCAGCCCACCTCTGAATTTCCTTCCTGCTGCTCTGCAGGGAGATGCATGGAAGCCCTTAGAACAGCAGATTTACAGCCTATCACTCTGCACTGAGGAGGCAAGGGGGGTGGTCCAAAGCAGCTTTTGGAAAGAAATTGACTGACTATTAAGGAACTCCATGGCTTAGGGATGGGAGTTGGGCTAACCCCCTCCCACACTAGCCTGTCTCCATTGACTTATAGCCTGTCTAATAACGGGATAAATCAGCCAGCCACCAATCTGTCAGGGCTCCTCTGTGCTTGAAGAGGGTTTCCTGGGACAGCCATGCTAAACTATAAATTGTTCCAAGAATAAATGTTTCCTTCCCCATAGGGCAGCCATCTGGCTTGAAATCCACTTTCCAAAGCCAAAACACCTGCCGATAGGAGTTGGGGGCTTTGTGGCCCTAAACACACCGTATTCTTCCTCAGGCCAAAGCAGCTACTTCCTGGCTCGGGACCTCCTTCCTCTTTCAGTACTGGACCTAGGCATCTCTGTCTTTAGTCCTCCTCTGGGAATTAGGACAGGTGTCACTCACTTTGGTGGCAGAAGAACAGGGATGGACAGACTCCAGGAGGAAGTGTCCCAGAAACCCAGGCTTGGCATAAGAGGCTGTCTGTGGTCTAGAGAAGCTTCGGGGCACCAAAGGAAGTTCCCTTCTTCCTTGCTGCAGTCCCTGCTCGCTTTCACCCCATCTCCTGAGGGCGGTGGAGGAACCCGGCAGCCTTGGCTTCCACAGGAAAGGAGAGTCACACTCTTTACGACAGCTGAATTTAAGACTGCCACCCCTGTGTCATCTGTCTGAGGCACAGTGGGTCTCCTGTTACAAGGCTGGACTGTCCCAGATTACCTGCATAGAGGGCCAGATTGGCAGCAGCGAGGGCCAAGGCTGCAAACTAAGGGCGGCGTCTATGCCTAGGGCACAATGGTCTGCCACTCAGCTCACGGAAACTCACCGGGGCCTAAAGCTGCCTCCCCGGGTCTGTCCACTCACATTGGAGGCCCAAGAGGGACTTGGGTAAGGACAGGGACCTGGTACCTGGCCTGAGAGGGCTGGCCAGATTCCTTGCCTTGTATAGCAAGAGGCGTCCTTATTTATGGCACAGTAGACTCATCTGAAAGAACCCAAGTTGTCATTCTGTTGGTGCCACTTGATGATGCTAAGGAGTAATTACCAGTGATTAATTACTTACATGAGCTGCACATTTTCATCCCACTCCAATTAAAATGCAGCACACAACTCTCTGCACTGGGCCACCTTCCCCGTGGGTCCCTCTCCTGCAAATCCCAGTCCACTTATGAACCAGAGGGACCAGCCTGGCTTTCCACCTCCCTGGGGGGGTGCTGGTTCTGGGGCAGAGCCTTGTCTACAGAACCTTCTAGTGACTCTCAGAGTTGGCAGCTGATGAAGGAGTTTGGAACCTGGGTATGGCAGGTGTCCCCGACATTGCCCACTCGTGACCTCCCGAGGGCTGCTTCTGCCACTGAGAAATAAAGGGTTGTGGCTCCTTTACAGTGTGCAAATGTTTATACATACAGGCTAACCCAGGAAAGGGAATGCTGAGAGACTATGTGAGACCAGGTGCGTGCAGAACCGTTTGGACAGTGTGACTGTGCATGTATGCATTAGTGAGTGCATCTGTCTGGAGGGGCCTGATGGTCCTGAAGCCTAGAAGCTGCCTCTTCAAGAGCGTGGAGTACAGACTAGGATCAGAAGCTCACTCTGGCTGGAGAACTCAGCTGCCTCCCTGTGTCCCATAAGACCCTCCCCTTCCTCTGCACTTAGGGGTTCTGGACAGGAACAAGGAGGGAGTCACTGGTGGCAGATACCCCCACACACATTCTCTTTCCCTCTTTCCCTCCCTCCATCCACTCCCTTTCCCCCCTCTTTCTATCTCCCCCCCCCCCAGCAGGACTTTGAACAGGGCTGGATTGACCATTGATTAGTTTTTATTGAGCTTGACCTCCCTGCTGTGCGTTGAAGGCCTCTGCCACCCTGGCTCCATGCCAGTCACACCCTTAGAGCCTAGTGAGCAGGGACATTAAATAGGATTTAGATGAGAGAGAGAGAGAGAGAGTGTCCAGCCAGTGGATTCCCTGTACACGTTTCTTCCCTGGCAGGGAGAGGGTCTGGGGTTTCCTGGGAAGAAACACAAAGATGAGAAAGGACCAAGGAAGGGTTCAGAAACCTAGAAGAGACAGCCCCTGCTCCTGACCCATTCTGACCTATTCCTATGCCCAGTATGATAGGCTCCTTTCCTAATGGTAACTCCAGCAATGGGGGGACCCGAAAAAGCCGCAGATGTACAAGGAACCTGAGAAGATCAGAAACTTGCTTTGCAGAACAGCCTGGAACAAGAACAGAGGAGGGAAGAGGCTACCATAGCCAACGCTGTGAAGGGTCACAGCAGTGCCTTGCCCCAAGACAGGTCCACCGTGACCCTAGCTGTGAAGAAGAAAGCACCACCATCAGCTCAGGAAGACATCTCCACATTAATACACTCAGACATGGCCCAAGATCAGGGGAGATTAACTCTACCGGGCCCCTGGTGTGCCTAGGCCCTGCTGCTGAATCCAGACTCACATTTCCCTGGATAGCATCTTGGCCATTGGGGTCTCTTCCCAGCTTCTCCTTCTGTCAAGAGCCTGGGAGTGAAGGAAGCCCTAGCTCTGAGTAGCTATGTACACAGTTACTGCTCCTTCTAGAAAAGGTCGTTGAATGTTCCTAGTCAACTTCCCATGGGTCCAGGAAGAGGAGCATCCTCGTAAGATTCCCCCAAACAAGAGCACAGCAGAGATGTTGTGGGCAAGTAGCACCTGTGCCCAGGGGCCATGCCTTGCCAGTGTGTCTGTCTTTCCTCCTGAGATAGCGCCATACAAGGGCATTATTAGACCACAGAGGTTGTCTAATGTTCTAAGGGTGATGACCACACCCCTCCCCGCAGACAGGCTCCATCGCCCCAAAATAGACTTGGCATTTACCGACTTGCCTAGGCTCACTGGCTGCCGAGTCCCAAGGGCTGGCTGTGCTGCCTCCTCTCCCCTAAGAGAGACAAGGGACCCTCATGGCTTCACTGCAGAATCAAGGTTCCTGTCCTGAGGAACAGCTACATCTTCCACCCTGGGATGCTTCTTCACAGCCTCTGGTGCCTGCCATCCCATGGGTAGACAGCTTGCTTTCGCTGTCTTCTCAGCCCAGGAGGCAGCGTGTCCTCCCTGGTCCTCCAGCCAGGTGTCCATCCTGGGGCAGGGGGCATCTCTCAGCCTCCGGTTTGCATCATTGGTGACCTCAGCTTGCCGCCCACCTGAGCCTGTGATGAGCAGCGCTCCACCCCCTCTCCCTGGGGAGGGGGCCCAATGCTGTCGCCCGAGGCGAGGCGCTTTCACTTGAGGACTCATTAGCAGCTTCTGCTCTCACCCTGTCAGTCTGCTCCAGATTCATCAGCACAACTGAGGAGCACCCTCCCCAACAGCCACAGCCCAGGAAGCAGGGTAGGGTAGGAGGGGGGTCTCTGAATGGCTCCCAGAGCCAGGGATGCTCTCTGTCAGCAAAGCTGAAAGCTAGGAAAGGAGGCAGCTAGAGAAGAGTAGGCCAAGCAGGGGAGGGGAGGAAAGAGTTGCTGCAGACAACTGAAAGCCAGGGTGCTGAGAGACGGAGGGTGAGAGGCGTGGGTGCTGGCAGGCCGGGAAGACTGCTGGGTCAGGAAGGTGGCTGGCGGGGCCTCCAGCCTGTTTAAAGGCAGCGATGACAGGCTTGTCTTAGAGACAGTATGAGTCCTATTGATCTGCAGGGTTCCAAGGGCTCTAGAGGGCCCAGGAGCCCAGTCGATAAAAATGACTGGCTGAGTAGACACCTTGCAGACAGAAAAGCCTAGGAAAAGAGCCCCAAGCCTTATTTGACTATCCCCCCCCCCCTCCCAAAGTCCTCCCATAGGGAACTTGACTAGCTAGAAGTACACCGGCCTGGGAATCCTTAGGGGAGACAGCGCTGGGCGTTAACATTCCACTGCCTGCTTCTCCTAGCCAGCCAGGGTTAGGGCTGGCCTGTGTCTTGAGTCTCTGGGCGATGGGAGAACAGTAGTAGAAGTAGTGATGGAGGCAGATGTTGGCAGCTGGCGGCCAGCCAGAGTACAGCTCCACAAGTGCTACTGTGGGAAGCACTTCTCTGTATGGTATGGTGGGAAAGGGTCTCAGCCACTCCAACGGTTTACCCCCTAAACTCAGAGAGCCCACGTTGCTTGCTTCTCCTTTGGATAGAAAGACACACACAGGCCACATGAAAGGCACAAGTGTAGGCTTGAGGATGGCCCAAGGAGGTTCCATAACTGCAGCATGCCTGCCCTTCAGCTCCTCCCAGGGGCCACCCCAGACGCTGCTCATTGGCTGAGAATATCAGTGACTGTGTGTTAACGTTTACTCAGAGGAGGTAGCCCTGGAGATGGCTTGTTAAAGGCAAACACAAGCTAGGCCTACTAAGCTTCCCCTTAGCCCTGCGCTGCCTGTTGCCCCCAGAGCACCCACCCAACCAGCACCAAGGACGTACTTCGGACTGCAAACTTGTGTGCCTCGGTTTTCCCATTTGCAAAAGATGAATAACATTATACCCATTCAAAAAGTTGTCGTGAGGCTCAAATGCATTGACACTTGGAGAATGTTTAGAAGTGGGGGGGGGCACTAGTAAGCATGCAGGTTTCTGGCTAACCCTTGAACCATTCCTTTTCCTCTGTACATACACATGGTGGGTGCCATGTGTGGTCCTGTCCCCTGACTCCTCATCCACTTCCTACTGCTCAGCCGGGGAGCCACCTCCCTGCTCTGCCCTGACAGGCCTCACTACTTGGCTAATCTCCTGGCCGCAGGATTGGACTTGACGCACTGCCACGTCGAATCAGCTTCTGAGCTGCCGAGGCTCCTGCAAGGGGCTTGGGGAAGGGAAGAAGGAAGGGTGGAGAGGGGTGGCCAAGCCTCTGAGCTGAGGTCAGAGCAACCTGCTGGAGGTGAGTGGCCCAGAGCAGAAACAAGTCCCCCTCTCCCAGCTGCAGCCTGGAGTGCCTCGGGGACAGGGACAGGAGGCCACAGGAGTGACCTGCAGAGTTGGCCTTGCAGAGCACTATGGGAAAGGATGGCAGTCTGAAGCTGGAGGGACTGAGCAGGCAGCTCAGAGCCTCACACGCTTCTGTGCATGGCATCATCTGAAAATTGGTTTGCTTTTGGTTTGACTCTGCCCTAACTTTTTAGATTCTAACTTAACAAGCCTGGGGTGAGGTCCTGGGGCCTGTTTTTAATAAGCTTCCAGCTGCTTCTGATTTCTACCCGAATCAGACCCTCTTCACCAGAACTTCAGAGACTCCGCTCCTCCTGCTCAGAATCAGCCCTGCAGTGACCCCCCCCAAACACTTAACCGAGGGTGACCCCTTTTTACCAAAGCCCCCAGTTGGTGCCCTCGGTGATGTGACGTCCTCCTCAGCCACCCTGTCCTCACTCCCACATCTGCAGATCTGGGCCCACTATGAGGAGCAGCCTGTGGAGGAGGCACTGCCTGTGCTGGAGGAGAAGGAGCGCTCTGCCAGCTACAAGCCCGTGTTTGTGACCGAGATCACAGATGACCTGCACTTTTACGTGCAGGACGTGGAGACTGGTAAGTGCCCACGTGCTGCTGCCGTGCAGACCGCAACATGGTCCGGACCACCCCAGGGTGCGGGCCCCCGAGTTCCAGACTCTCCCAAGGAACTTTAAACTGCTACTGCCTAGTGTCCATCTCACCCCCTAGAGTGGGGGGATGTGGCCAGCCAAAGCAGGTCCTCTGAGGACAGGTGACATTACAGAGTCGTCTGAGTGGTTCTCAGAGACTCTTAGGTAATGCTTTGACGCCCAGACTGGCCATGAGGATTTGTTGCCAGAATGTGTCAGGAGTCATGGAGTAGATTATCTGATGTGGTCAGGGATCCCTGCTTCTTAGGGAGGACCAGAGGGTGGGAATCTGTCCCCCTCTCTCTGTGGAAGCTTCTCCTACAGTATCCGTAGCAACAAGCAGGCTCTAGGAGAAGCTGTCCCCTAGAAGTCTCTGTGAAAGACCTTCTCCTCTGTCTGATCCTCAGACTGCCCACGCCCCGCCCCCACCCCCCACCCCCCCACCCCCGGTGGCTAGGGTCCCATACACAGAGACCTGGGTTGCTAAAGGACACAGGGTAGCAGCGGCATCCACCACTCTTACTTCCCCTGACCTCCCTCCTCTTCATGCTGGGCCAGGTGGTAGGGGATTGTTGGGAGCAACGGGACAAGCTCTTAGAGCCACCTTTGGGTCCAAGGAGTCAAATCCTGGCAGAGGGGTGGGCAGATATGGGCAGCCCTAGGCAGGGTAAGGTTTTTGCCTGACTTCCTGCACCCTAACCCAGACCTACTCCAAGTTGCCAACAGCCGGTCTCAGCCACTTCCCCTCTAATGACATTTCCCAGGCAGAAGCTTTGTGGCTGTGTCATTTCACTAAGGGACACTGCCCCGTTCCTCATCCTGGGCTGCCTCTGCTTGGGAAGACAAAAAGTGGAGCAATGATAAAGTCTTGGGGATTCACTTCTCCTGAGGGCAGCCACACTCCCAGGAGAAGGTGGCTCAGCAATTGCCTTGGCAGTGAACCCAGAAAGCAGCCAGCCTCGGGACTGGGAAAGTGTGATAGGAAAGGGGTCTTAACCTCCCAGGGTAGAAATTGGTCCGTGAGTGAGCAGAGGAGCAGCTGGAATGGTGCCGGGGGGGGGGGGGGGGACTCTATCCCGATAGCCCCTGCCCAGGGACAAGATTCACCTGAGCTCCGCTAGGAAGGATGGCCTTAACCGGCCCCACTGTGTTTAGAGGCGGAGCTTGTAAAGTTTCCTGTGTAACCCCCTCATGGGGACTCTTACCAGGTTGTCTCTGGCTGCTCTAGAGAGCCAGGATGGTTGGAGAGAATGGTGCCCAAGGCAGAAGTAGGGAAAGGTCACATTCCTAGAATATTGTCACTGGCTTCTAGTGGTGAGTACCAGAGAGGATACTGCTGTGGTTCTGTTAAATCCAGGAAAATAACCCCAGGGTCTGTAGCCTCCTGCCTGAACTGTTTGGACTCGAGGCACACCCTCACTCACCCCTTTTTATTATAAAACTCATCTTCACAAAGGGTCTGATAAAAACATTAGCTGCAAGTGACCAATCAGACCCTGTATCGGGACCTCCAGGAGGCTGTGGCTGCTGGCAGGAAGCGGGAGCCTGTTTCTTTCTGTTGCCTTGGAGCCCAGAAATCCAGTAAACTACAAGTAGACCGAGCTTGGGAGCCCCTGGCAATGTAAAGGCTGCTTCCCAGTCTGTGAACAAGGAACCCTCTGGAGGAGCCCAGAGGCTGCACCAACTGAATGAGTGTGTCAGGGCCCTGTGCACAGCAGCCCAAGAAGAGGACGCGTGGGCCTGTGCAGAGGTCATTTCAGTATGGTTGGGTTGGTAAGCACCCTGCGCGCACTGGGAATCCTACCAGGCCCGTGCAAGTAAACAAGTGAGCTCATAGTGCAATGGCAGAAACATAAACACAGACCGGGAACTTACAAGGCTGGTGGTGCCACACTTAGACTCCACATCTCCAGCTCCACCCTCACCCCCACCCCCCACGGGGTGGAAGAGAGCAAAGAGGCTGTGAGGCTGAGGTAGAATCTGGGTCAGAAGGACCATAAAAGGTTAGGTCACAGGGGACTGGTGTCCCGCAAAGCCAGGGCAGGGAAGGCACTGCAGGAAGGAGCCCGAGAAGGAACACGAGACCTCAGGTACTGCCAGAACTGGTCAAGGAGCTGTAGGTAAGCAGCAAGGGAGATTGGGCAGGAAAGTGGGGCGCTGCCCCTGCTGAGAAGGGCTACAAAGGGGAGCCCAGCCTGGCAGCATTGGAAGTATTCTTCAACGTCTGTTTGAATAGGTAGAGCCTCTGTGTCCCACGCAGTTCCTCCCCCATCTTTCAAGGCTCTGATTCTGGGGTCCTTTCCCATCTGTGGTTATAAGGGATCCATCCTTTTGCCCGCAAGAAACATGGGCAGAATGGTTCCTGCTAATCATGAGATGCCTGCCAGCCCTTATTATAGAAGCCGCTCAGCCTTGCTCAGTGTCCATTTTCTTTCCCACTTCCTCAGTCAGGACCTAGCCACAAGAAATGTACCTCCGTGATGTGACGCTTCCCTAGGATGCACAGGCCCTGAATTCCCTCCCCAGTACTTGAAAAAGAGTTTAGAAGGCCCAGGCGCATTCCCCAAAGCTCCTGTGCCCTGGCCAGTATATTGGGAAAGTGTGTGCCTGCAAGGCCCAAGATACAAAGAAGTCACCAGTGCAAAAGTCGCACTTTTGTGTGTGGCTGGCATGAAACTGCTTGAGTGGGAGCCACAAAGGGCTGCCCTGCATGGGCTGAGGTTAGCAGTGCTGGGTACCCTCCACCCTCACACCATACGTAGCCCCTGGGTTCGCCCAGGAATGAGGCTCCTAAGTCTCAGGGCCCTCTTTTCCCTACAGGCACCCAGCTGGAAAAGCTGATGGAGAACATGCGCAGTGACATCTCCAGCCACCCCCCTGTCGAGGGCTCCTACGCCCCCCGCCGGGGAGAGTTCTGCATTGCCAAATTTGTAGATGGAGAATGGTGAGCCAGCCGCCTGAACCAGCAGGGCAATGGGGCTTAAGCAGGATGTTGAAGTGTCCTGGGGCACAGGCCTGCAAAGCCGCTGCTCCATGGCAGGCATTCACCAGCATCTGCTCTCTCTTGGGTTGTTGGTGACGGCCTCTACCAGATCTCCAGGGCATCGCCCCCTCTGTCAGGGAGAGGGGGTGCTGTCACCCAGCCAGCCTCCAGAGATTGTGGTGCCACTCTCCCTTTCCTGGGGACACCAGGATAGTAAGGCTGTTTGTTGGCTGATGCCCTCCAACCCAGCCCTCACCCCTCAAGGAAGAATGGTGACAGGAGTCAGTGGAGGTTTGTTCACAGTGAGCCCTGACCAACCAGCCAACCTTGCACCTCAGCTGCCTCAGATACACTTCCAGGCCGGAAGAGGTCACTCGTGTATGATCTACCAAGGGTAGAGCCCATGGCCTTCTCAGGGTGACGAAGTGACTTGGACATGATCCTGCGGCAGCCGCCCAGACAGATCAGCCGGCTAATTACAGCTGCTGTTTAGTGTGCTGGGCTTAAACAGCAGACATCAATCTAGTCATTACTCTTGTTGCTTTATGCCCCAAGGACACATTAATCTGCTCCACATGCTCCCCTTCTGCTCCCAGCATCCTATAGACGCTGCCCTGAGCTCCCTGAGGCTCGGCCTCCTTAGTCTGAAAACTGTCCTCTGTGGCACCCAGAGACCCTGGGCAGGAAATGCAGTGTCCCCGGGAAGATCGGGTTCCTAGCTACCCTGTGGACTCTGACCACGATGCCCTTGCAGGTACCGTGCCCGGGTAGAGAAAGTGGAGTCCCCTGCCAAAGTCCACGTCTTCTACATTGACTACGGCAATGTGAGTACTGGGGCCCGGGGTGAAAGGCAGACAAGGCAGGGACCGTCAGGCACAGGGTAGGTCCCCTCGGTCAAGCCCGTCTCACCTCTCAAAAGCCCTGCGTGCTCGTGGGACATACACAGGCCAGGCCCCCTGAACTCCTAGGAAGAACAGGTAAATGTTCACACACTGGTAGCGCTTGGGGAACCTGACACTCTTGAAGTGTGGCAGTGGCCATCTACTGTCCTTTCATCCCTCAAAGATAAGATAGGAGGATCAGCTGTCAGAGAGTCCTGGCCTGCGGCCATGCTTTCGTTACCTGAGAGCACATAGTAAAGAGGCATTGCCAGGCTAGAGTGACTTCAGCTACCTGGGCCAGAACCAGAGGTGCGCCTAGCACTGTCGTGAACAGGCGACCCTACGGAGTACTAGCCTGGGAGCCATGTGGCAGGGAGAAGGGCACTGGAAGGAGGGAGGGATGGCAGGGCAAGCCCAGTATCTCCAGGATTATCTTCGCTAACGGAAGCCTCCAAGTAAGCCAGTGCCAGGCCCAGAGTGAGCGGGCATGGGATAACTTCCCGCCAGCGGTTGGTTTTACCAGCTAAAGAAGCCTAGGAGACTAGCAAAATGAAACTGAGTCGAACGAGTGGGGGAGGCCGGAGTGAAGTCCCCTGGTAAAGGGGGTTATCCTCGAAGCAAGGGGCACCACTGGGTGTGTGATGGCGTTGTGCTGGTGCTTCCTCGACAGAGAGAGATCCTGCCATCTTCCCGCCTGGGTACCCTACCTCCTGCCTTCAGCACTCGTGTGTTGCCAGCTCAAGCCACAGAGTATGCCTTCGCCTTCATCCAGGTGCCCCAAGATGTGAGTACAGACGTCACCCTCCTTCCGGAGGGGACTGGCATAGCCATTGCTGTCGCTCTCACAGCCTGGCAGGAGATGATGGGAATGTGTTACGTTGTCCGCTGTTATTGATGGGACTCGGGAGTCGGGAGTGGTTAGCCCTGACCCTGGAAATTGAGGGAAGATAGCACAGACAAGAAGGCATGATAGCAGATGTGTTAGATCTTCAGCAGTGGCCGGGTCTGGTGAGTTAGGTGCACTGGTGTAAAGACTCCACAACTCACTCCTAGAGAGTAGTGGGCAATGGTCCTATCTGCCCTGGCAAGAGCTTATGCCCTGTATCTTAGGCAGTGAGGGAAGGGACAGCGTCGTGAACCAAAGTGTGACATGGTCAGGTGTTTCTGACAGCTGTGTGAATGGGGGTTAGGACTGGAAGGAATGGTTGGAGATGGTCCTCACAGTCTAGGCTACAGAGAAGAGCAGCCACACCAGAAACACATCAGAGAGATGGGACAAGGCAGAGGAAGCTACGATGCCACTGAATTCCTGGAGCGTGGATGGCTGTTGGTCAAGGTCAAGGAGGAACAGTTTGAGCTTGGAGGATCTCCACAGTGCTACACGGGGTCCAGTGTGGAATAAAGATTAGACCTAGAGATGGTGCAGAGTAATGTCAAAACTATGGCAGGAAGGAGAGAGACTTGGGAGCTTCAGGCAAGGTGAAGGAGGGCGGTAGGATCTGTGCTCACAATTGTAGTGGCCCTGATTTCCAGAAGAGAACCAGTCAGCAGCATCCACTCCCCAAGGGAGCTCCAGCAAATAGGCTAAGGCTTCAACTTCGAGGCGGTACCTGGTACTCAGAGCAAGCAGCATGGGTAGTGTTGCCGCCAGGGGCAGGGTACTAGATGGGAGCGGAGAGGTAGGAGTCCTCACCATTAACTTCCTGCCTTTTCACCAAACGTGCCAAAGCGGGAACAGACCACAAAAGATGTGGTGGACACGTGCCACAGATTGAGTTGGGGAAGCATCTGTGAGGGTGGGGAGATGTGTGGCTAGAACCCAGGATGCTAGTATCGTAAAGACAACAGATAGGATGGTGTCAGCATCCTGGAGCAAGACTAGAAGTTTAGAGGGGCCAGAGCTACAGTCATTGGGTAAATTTGGGGCAGAAAAAAAGCCACTTTTCCTCAGAGACATCAGGCAGGTGGGTAGGGGGGCAAAAGTTGGGAGGTACGAATGGTTTATGTGCAGTTGGTTGGGGTACAAAAAGGGGTCCTTCATGTCCAGAGCCTTTTTGTCACTCACAGATTCCTAAGGGGAGAGTCACAGACTGTGCTGGAGGTCCAGGCCCTGAGGCCCAGGTAGCTCTTGTTTGGCCTCCGTCCATACCCCTCACTAACACGGCTATATCCCTGTCCAGGAGGATGCTCGCACAGATGCTGTGGACAGCGTGGTGCGGGACATTCAGAACACTCAGTGCCTGCTCAATGTGGAGCACCTGAGCGCCAGCTGCCCCCATGTCACTCTGCAATTTGCGGACTCCAAAGGCGACGTGGGGCTGGGCCTAGTGAAGGAGGGACTCGTCATGGTGGAGGTGCGCAAGGAGAAACAGTTCCAGAAAGTGGTACGTGATCTGCAGAGGGGCTCCCCATCCGGGCAGTGGGCCCTTAGCCTGTACCCTGCGCCACAGGCAGCGTCACAGAAGAGAGACGGGGGACTGTACCCAGAGCCAGTGCGGAAGCAGGGAGTCCACCAGCCTCCTGGTCCTGCTGGGGAAAGATAATGGATTTGGGTTTGTTGGGGTTTTAAAAAAAAAATCTAATTAAAGCACAGATTAATTGGCTGCGGGTTTGGCTGAGAATGCAGCTGCAAACTAGAGCAGAAAGTTTCCCTCTGCATGTGCTAGGGCGGTCTGCCAGTGGTGGTGGAGAGGGTCAGGACCTGTCTCTCTCCAAGTCCTTTTCTCCAACAACAGTCTCCAGGTCCTGTTACCCAGGACCACCCATAGCCATGTGGTAGCCACGAAGGTTCCAAAAGACTCTGTCCCAAAGCTCCCCCAGCCCACAGGTCCACACGCTGTTACCGTGGTTTGTGGGTCAGAGGCATTGGCTATCTTAATGTCCTCACATGAAGCTACTGGTAACTGCTCTGATGCCTGGAGATTGCTTTGGCCACATTATGACTATAAGCACTCTCTTTTTCCCACCATCTGTAATGACCAACTCTACCCCTGCTTTGTGAAACTTACATTCCAGCACGAGACAAGGAACGTGAACACAGTTAAATGAAATACAATGTGGTGGAAAGAGGAAAACGGAAAGTCCAGTGCAGAGGACCGGGGGTGGAATGGTAGTTTTCAGTGGGGGTCATTGGATGTCAGAGACATGCAATGAATAGCCAGGTGGCCATGCCTGGTTGAGCAGTCCCAGGCAGCAATGTCACTGTACAGCCCGCGGTTTGCTCTGAGCACTGGACTCCGCTGACCTACGCATCTGTAGCAGCATGTTTGGCTGCTCCTAGCTGCTCGTTAAGAGCACCTCCATCTTGACCACTTGCCATCTTCTTGTGTCCCTCAGATCACAGAATATCTGAATGCCCAGGAGTCAGCCAAGAGTGCCAGGGTGAGTTCTTGCCTGGGGCTCCTGGAGGCGCTGAGTTTACAGGGTGTATCCCTGTGGCTTCCATTGGGCCACAGATCCCTGAAGAGTCACGTTCTTTTCCCTCTCTCTCACAGCTGAACCTGTGGCGCTACGGAGACTTCCGAGCTGATGATGCCGATGAGTTTGGCTACAGCCGCTAAGGAGAACTGTGCCTGGCCCCCAGCACCGCTGATGCCAGACCCTTTCCCTCTGCCAGGAGGCGGTTTTCAATGTCAGACCTGGTTGGGGGAGCATAGATTGGGTCCAGCTTTGCTTCAGTGTACAGAAGCCTCCTGTGTGGCGGGTAGCATTGGAGCTGTGGGCAAGGAGCCCAGGCTTGCGGGGGCAGACCATCATAGTGGCACTGCCGTCCACAGTCTCTCCCGGATGATTTTGTATTTTTATTTGGGGATTTGTGGGATTTTTTTTTTTTTTTTAAACTGTCTTCAAATCAGGAAAGAACCATGAAAGACTTTGTCTTAGCGAAGGGGATAATCGTGACACCTGAGGCAGCAATCAGCTGGCACCCACCTCTACCCCAGGCCACCCTTCTTCCCAAACTGTCCAAGTGTTGATTATGTGACTTCTAAAATGTCGGTGTGTCCACATCTGCCCCCTCACCAGCCTGTTCTGTATTTAAAGCTTCTGAGACCCAATAAAATAGAACCTGCTGTCTGCAAAGCAACCCTTACTGTCATAGTAGTACCAGAAGGTTGGATTCTTGGCCCCAGTCAAGAGGAAGCCTGGTGACAGAGTTGTAGGCAACCCTGAGGCCTGGTGAGTACTGCAGACATCTAAGACTCGCCGCATGTGACTATCTCCAGGACTTACTTCACAGTGGCATGATCTACAGTGCTAGAGTGTCCCTCGGGTTCATCCACATCATGAGCCCAGCAACACCCCCAAAGGAAGTCAGGTGAGGCGTTTCCCACTTCCTGCCGTGAGCTGGGCCTGGTTGTTCGGGCTGTAACCCCAGCTTCAGGAAACTAAGACAAGGAGATCATGAATCTAAGACCAGCCTGCACTAGAGTACTCTGGGTTGCCCCGAGCAACTTAGACCTTGTCTCAAATTAAAAAGTTTAAAAAGGGCTGACCTATAGCTTAATAATACAGTTGCTCGCCTAGCTTACATGAGGCCCTAGGTTCAATCCCCAATACCATTAAAAGTAAAAATTAAAAACAGCCATAGAAGCCCTTGGAGAATAGGACTGAAATAACAGGCACCTCTGAGAGGGATCCCAGTCCCTAGTGAGGAAGGCCTGTTGCTTTGAGCTAGCTCTTGCTCTAATAAGTGGTCTCAAATCCTTAAGGTTGAGCTGTACAGAGCCGCTTACGGTCCATAATTGTAGGCTGAGAAAGGCCTAGAGCAGTCATGTGATAAGCGTCACTTGCAGGGACTTTTGAGGGGTGGCCAAGGACACTGGCTACCCATCTCATCCCCGTGGCCCTGTCTAGGCACACACTTTGAGGAAATCGGATGCTATGAACTTCCGCCTTTCTGACCCAGGGACTGCCTTGGATTCCGTATAAACATTAGTGAAAGTAGGCTGGCTCTCCCTCTCAAGCCAGATGCCAAAACACACATGGGCTCTGTTCAGAACATATCTTTAAACAAAGAGAGGTGATCCTCTTGGTCTCAGGTTCCTGTATGGGATGAGAGGCAAAAATAAGAACCGAGGAGAAAGGGCTGGGGAGATGTCTCAGCAATTGAAAGCATGTACTGCTCCTGCAGAGGTCCTAACACTCAGGTCAGACAGCTCATAACCATCTGCAAACTCCGGCTCCAGAAGGTTCTGTCCCCTCTAGCTTCCAAGGGCATTGCACTCTCATGCACAGACCCATGCACAGATTCGCACACATAGTCTTTAAAAATGGTAAATGCGATGGTGATCTTGGCATGGTGGCACGCTCCCTTAGTCCCAGCACTGTGGAGGCAGGGGCAGGCGGCTCTCTGAGTTTGAGGCCAATGTGGTCTACAAGTTCCAGGACAGCCAGGGCTACCCAGAGAAACCCTGTGCCGAAAAACAATAATAATACATCTTTGAAAAGGTAAGCAAGGAGGATGGCGGGGAGAAACATGGAGTCAGTTTAACTCCAGGAAGCCTGTGCTTGCTTTTCTCTCTTAAGGTCCTCAGGGCTGCTCAGAACAAGTCTTGTACTCCTAAACCCAGACCCCTCACAGTCGAGTGCGCTGCATTCGCTGAGGGTAGTCACCCCACTCCTGAAGAAGCCTTTCAGCCCCCAGTAGGCAGCATACTTTTACCATGGCTTCACTTCATTTTGGTCCATAGAGAGGAGAATGCCCGTCTCACTGGGTTCTTTCCCTCCACAATGCTCCCAGTAAGGCCACAAGGCAGGGCGCTGTGCGTTCACAATGAGCGCAATCGGCAGAGGGGCAAAATGCCAACCCACTCTTTGTAGAAAGGGTCTGAAATCATCTCCCTGTCGTAACAGTTGCCTTGGTTACATCTGCACCCAAGGATAAGCCTTCCTTAGTTTTCCAGTTGAAATTATGCCTGAGCCTTCCCACTTCTTTCTTCCTTTCTCTTCCAAGGCTGGTTTAGACAAAGGTCAGAGCAGTCACCAGGTAGGCAGGCTCCGCTGTAGGATCCAGCCTGCTGTGCCACATCTGTTGAGTGCCGAGGGCTCTCCTGAGACCACAGTAAAAGCAAGTCCTGTGTTAGGGTACAGAACCGAAGGAGACACCCAGCGTGTGAGTACACTGGCTTGTTCTGTCTCCATCCATGCTTGCCCAGCATCGCTGCGAGGGACACCAGAAGAGCCCCAGAATGCCTCCCCAGCCCCTGGACTTCTAGAACTTGATTCTTGAGCTTGAAATCATCGATTCCGCCCCTCCCTGTTCTTTCCCAGTTGCACCCCCAATTGTCCATTCCCTTCTTGCCTCGGCTAGACAGGTTAATACCCCAAAAAACACTAAGCACAACTCTGGCTCCAGCAAATGACAGGACCATTTTGAGACCTTCCAGGGCCCCCGTAAGGTAGGCATGGAGGCAGCCAGTGCCATACAAGAACAAAGCCCAGCTGTGGGCAGTGCCCCTGCAGTTTCGGGGGTCTAAGCCCCAGACCCAGGTGGCTAGTGAAACGGGGGGGGGGGGAGTTGGTGTGACAGATGGTAGGAGTGGGTCACCCATCTCTGGCTTTGTGCTGCAAATTCCTAAAACTCTGGGGCTTAATGACTGTCAAGAAAATACTGATAACTTGAAGCACCTTCTCAGTGACCATCATCTTCCTCGCTGCAGCACACAGGGCCAGCAAAGAAGGCAGGCCTGGAGGAAAGGGCTCACACAGCCGCCTCACTTTATTTATTGGTTTGATTATTTCTACGTCCTGGGGAGAGTTAGTCAGATGGACCCCTTTTCTTGCATCAGCCCATGTTGGGAAGCAATCGGGAGGGGCTAGAGAGCTGGTGCCTCAAGAGTGGTTATTGATGTCCTAATTACAAGAGGATGCTAATTTAATTTGAACCTAATTACAGTGCACTACCCTGGGTGGCATGTGTTTTAATAATTAACGTCCTTCAGATGCGTGGGAGTGTAATAATATTTACACTAGGTTGGCCAGCAGCCTGGGGAGGCGGGCTGGGGGCCCATACACCACCCTCTACCCAGCAGCTTGGCTGCTAGCAGGTGGGGACGATGGCTCGAGAGTCTTCGTCCCCTAGTGTCTTGTCATCCTTCCCGGGGAGTGAGCTTGGTTCTCATTTCCAGCCACTTCCTTGACCTAGCAGGCTACTCTGTGGGGTACCATGCTGGGATTCTAAAATCCATCAGACCTGCAGGGTCTCCAGGCTCCAGCTCCAGCCATGCTCGGCCGCACACATTCCATATCCACACCAGCAAAGGCCCTGTTCCTGGCTTCCCTGCCTACCTGAATAGTCCCAGGGAAGGGCTTGTGTGAGCGGATGTGAGCAGGACGGAAGGAGAGCTACTTGGTACTGTTCTTTCCCTTTTTTGCAGGTCAACATACTATGGGAAAGACATTCAGAAAAGTCCACAGATACAAGGGCACAGCTCGAACACGGGAACAGCACCACACTAAGCTAGAGGCCATCACCAGTTCTTTCCCGGTCAACCATCCCCACACGTGACCCCTCAGACCTCCACCCCCGTGGGTGGGCTTTGTCTGTTCCGTGTCTTTGCCTCTTCGTTTCAACCGGTTGTGATGTTTTCATTTAGTGGACGCACTCTGTATAGAGACCTGTGTGCTGGCTTCTTCAGCTTGGTATCGTAGACACAGGAGGCATGTAAACAACCGTGTTTGCTTTCTCCTTTATCTGTTCTCTGAATACACGAAGACCCTTGACACTTGTGGTTACAAAGAAGGCAAGGATAAGCAGTCTGCTGGAACCGTGGCCACATCAGTCCCTAAAGGAGAATCTCGTCACCTGAAGGACTGGCGACCCTTTATAAAGAGATGTATCAGAGTGATGAGCAGGGCAGTTCCACACCTCCACCCAAAACCAGATCGGTGTCCTACCACAATGATGCCTGCAACCAGCCTTCTAGATGCATCCAGAGGTGTGAAAACGTAGACGCTCAGCAGAGTCAGTTCTGCTGGGTATGTAGCTCAGCGATACAATGCTCGTCTAGCTTGGGGAGAACCCTGACTGAAACCCCAGCACTGCAAAAAAGGGAAAAAAAAATTTTTTTGGGGAGGGGAAGCAGGCCATTAACGTGCATGAGAGAACAAATGTGTCCCTACCCTGAAAAGTCTCCCAGGGCAGTTTGGTCCCTAAGAATGGCTGGCAGACCCACTCCATCAGAATAACTTGGGGTGCTCATTAAAATATAGCTGCCAAATCTAGTGTCAGAACTATATTGGGGGTGGGGCAAAGGAGCGAAGCCTCCATCTCTCAGAGCAGGAAGACAATGGGCAGTGTTTGAAGTTGATGAAACAAGAGCTGGCATGTTATTTAGCAATAAGATGGTAACCCCCAGCAGATCAAAAGCCGATGATTAAAAGTGATTGCCTGTAGATAGCACTACAGGGGATGGGCAGCACTATTGAATTTCTTAACCATAGGCAAGTGCTTCTGATGCTCAGGTTTTTTTAAAATTCATTATCATATAAATATCGTACCAATCCATTTCCCTCTGCACGGCTGCTGCCCCAAGCTGTGTGGGGTGGGGCCTGGGGATCCACTTTTAACAGGCTTCCTCTGTGGCTCTGATGGGTTCTCAAGTTCAAGCATTACCTATCACTGTCCAGACTCATTTTACAAGATGAGAAGAGACAGACAAAGTGACTTGCCCAAGGTCACCCGGCTTATTAATGGCAGGCCCAGGAATAGAAAGTCGCTCTCCTGGCCCCAGGCCGGTGATTTTTCTCTACATCAAGGCTCTCACCTTGGTGGATGTCCATCTCAGCCAGCTTGACCCCTGGGGACCTACCTGCAGGGTGAGCTGGGGTCCTGGCTCAGTTGGGAAAGCCAGGGTGTCCTTGTCCTGATACAAAGGAGACGGGTCTTCCTGCCACTGACTCCGAGTCCTCACACAGTCCACAGCATGTCCACAGCACCTAGCTTGTGTGCAGCATTGTGGGAACCCACACATGTGAAACCGCAGCTGCTCTCACACCAGCCAGTAGCAATGTTGGTGTCTTGGAGAACTTTTGCTTTCTTGGTTGTTTGTTTTTCAAGGGAGGGTTTCCTCATCTAGCCCTGGC